CTGCATAGAGAAATTCAATCAGTTATGCATGGAGGAAAGGCTTAGGTCCGTTCCCTTGACAACCAATGCCCAGTACTAAATACTTGCATTTTACTTGCCAAATACTACAGATTAGCCAACTAAAGCCTGCTTTCTCCTTCTTAAAAGGTCTAAACATTCAAGCACCGTCCACTCAGCGCAAGCAAGTTAATGTTATTAGATGAATATCTCCTGGCACACAAAGGGGGGGCAGCATTTGGGGGGCGAGAGGAGGAGAAAAGCAGTCTTGTTTTCTGTCTGAAAGCCAACTGCATCACTTAGCAACGAGCCCAGAGGCCTGCCAGAATTCAACCCTTGTTTGCAGCCTTTTAGTTCAGCTCAGTAAATTACATTTAACGCAAGCTGGGAGCGTCTGGGACGATTGAACGGCTGAACAAACAGCTCCCTGTGCTGCCCACGAGGTCCTCGGTCGGCTCCCGCCTGGCCGTGGGGAGGGCATTGGGAGGCGATGGGAATGGGGAGAGGGGCTGTTGGCTGAGAGAAACTGCTTCTCACCACTGAGGTTCAAGAGAGGGGGGCAAATGCATAGAAATGGGGAAGGCAGGGGCTGAAAATGGAAAGGCAACCATCGCTCGCCTGCCGCTCGCTTTGGCATCGCTCCTTTGGCACACCAGAGCCCCGTGCCAGGCAGCCCCCAGGCGTTATCTCGCTGCACAAGCCAAGACAAGCACCAAAATCTTTCTGGTGCCATCCCCCTCCTGCCGGGACCATGGCTTAAATCAAAACCGTGAGATTAAAACACCAGCAAAAGGTGGTTTGAGGGGCTTTTCCGTCACTCCCTTTGCTAATGAATCAAACACATGGAGAGGTGGACAGTGAGGATGGAAGCCAGAAGAGAGGACTGACTACCCCTCGCACAGGGAGTCTTGCTTCCCACTGTGGTTTACAATGTGCCCTTGGCTGTGAAGGGAGGCAAAGGGAGCTGAGGATGCCAAACTCAGTTCATGGCACACAGTCTGCACTGGGTGCTCTTCCCAGGGAAGATCCCACAGGGAAGTCCTAAGACACATGTAGGGACCCTACCTTTGATGCTGCTGAGAGACAGCGAGCGATCTCGGTCTGCCAAGCTGGGCCCCAGTTTGCTGCTGCTGCTGCTGCTGTTGTCCTTCTGCCGGGCCACAGCCACGGCGATGCCAACAGGCAAGTGCCTCACCTCCACCTCGCCCTGGGAGCCGATGCTCTCACGGCCGAAGGATTTGGCACTCTCAGGTCTCTCAGGGTCCCGTTTTAGCTGCTTCGCTGGCTGCTGCAGCAGCAGCTGCTGCACCTTGGAGGCTCCCAGCTGCGCAGAGTCCAACTTCACGTTGCCCAAACCGCCGAAGGGGCTCTTCTTGCCGCAGCTCTGCCGGGACGCGGTCTCCTTGGCAAAGCTGCCGCTGTACTTGATGAGGCTCTGCATGGCCGACCCTTCGCCGTGCGAGGTGGGGTGCAGGACGTCGGCGGCGCCCCGTGAGCCCACCACCGAGGTCCGTGGCAAGCCACTGGGGTCAAGGTAGACCTTCTTGGCTTCCTCCTCCACCCGGGTGACGTGGTTGTGCTGAGCAGCCAACACCGCCATCTGCGTGGTGGCAAAGTTGCCCATCTCAAAGGGCTTCCACTTCTGCTCCGGTGGTTTCAGCTGACCGTGGTCCAGGTGCTGCCGGGAGGAGTCCAAAGTGCCATAGACCTTTGCTGCTTCTTTGGAGCTGGATCGCTGGAAGCGTTCCCGCTCGCAAGGGCGATGCTCTGCCTCCGGACTCGGCTTCAGCAAGTCCTTGGAGGCCAGGAACTCCCTGCTCTCCGGAGAGCCCAGCCCCGGCCGGTTGAGGAAGGGCTCTGAAGTGACCTGTCTCTTCAGTGCCATGGAGTTCGTCCTGATCACCGAGCCCTTCTCTCTCAGAACCTCCATCCTTTTGGCATCGCTGTGACAAGAAAAGTCCTGGGACAAGAGCGTGCGGGAGGCATCCGCAAGGCACCGCTCCGTGGGTGACTGCAGCACCCCCACCTTGCCGAGGTCTTTGTCCTTCACCTTGTTGTCTCGGGCCTGCGAGGCGATTTGGATGGGCCCGCTCCTCTCGTCGTAGGCTTCGACCGAAGGCACGAAGGTGGGGGCGATGACTTTGTGCTCCCTCCCCAGCTCCTTGGCCGGCGGGAAGATGGTGTACATGCTGGAATGGACGGGCTGCGGAGGGAATGTTGTGGCCGGCGTCATCTTCCCCGTCTGCGAGGGGTGCGGGGATGGGCAGCTACAGGAGACGTGCAAAGCGCCCACGGAGGGCAGGAGGGGCTCCCCTCGCTTCAGCCGCTCAGCGTGGGCATGCGCAGAAGGCCTCATGTTCTCGTCGTGCCGAGTGGGATCCTTGGCACAGCGGTCCTGCTCGGCACCCAGGACCTTCAGAACGGGGTCCCCGCCGCCGTTGCAGTTGCTGAGGGAAGAGCTCTGCAGCGGGTTCTTGGACTTGGGTTCCCCACTGCCTGTGCCCCGATTTGGCATGTGCTCAGCCAGGAACGGTGAGAGACGCTCGCCGACCTTCACCGCCTTCTCCACCACACTCACTTTCCGGTCGCTGTCGGGCTTGGTGTCCTGTGTGAGGTCAACCACACTGCGGGGCCGGGGCTCCTCCTTCGGCTTGCTCTCCTTCTTGGCAAAGGGCAGGGACAGATCGCTCCGGCATGCCCGCTCCTTCCCACCGGGGTCTTTCAGGCCTTCCTTCGAGCTCTTGTGCAGCTGCCCAAGGTCCTTTTCCCGGAGCAAAGTGCTCGACGTGTGGCTGCCCACGGTCCTTGAGAGGGGAGGTTGAGGGTGTAAAGCAGACTGGCCTGCGTGGCCGGACAGGTAGAACCCATCTGCAGAGCAAAAACAATCAAAATTGTTTTTTGAGACAGGTAAGAGGTAGCAAATGGGGAAGTAACAGGTTTCAAGGATGCCTCAGACAGGAAGGCCCAGGGCAGAGGAGACCAAGCAGGTTTCTCCATGTGGGATGCAGGACAGTCCTGTCCTGATGCACACTGGGACTTCAAGGTGGGATCTGGCCAGCTTCCCTATAGCACAGCTACATCCAAAACCCTGGTACTGCTAACACGAGGGAATATCCCTGGATGATCAGTCCAGGGGGTTCCTGCTCTTCACCCCCAACACCCCAGCACCCAGCAGCTCCAGCAGCCAAACAAGCCCAAAGGACAGGGTGAGCACCCAGGAGTGACCAGGAGGGCCAGAAAGGGCACACGGGGTCCCAGACTCACCTTTCTGTGATTCAAAGAGGCTGTGCTGTCCCAGCTGGGCCAGGAGCGGACTGCCGGCACTGGGAGGTTCGAGGTGGCTCAGGGGAATGTACGATGGGTAGAGACCGTTAGGCAGATGGGAAAAGCCTGCAGAAAATGGGAAACAGAAGAGGGAAACATGTTTCATCCCAAGCGGCACGCTGCCTTGGAACGAGCCCCGCAGGAGCACAGACTGTTGTGGCTGTCGGTCCCTCGCGCGCCAGGAGCGCCGGCGGAGGGGACGCACACGGCAACAACACACACCACACACAGCCCATCGTGAGGAGCACTGCTCAGAGACCCCCCTTTGGGTACTGATCCCCCACTGCTGGTCCCCAGATCGCCCCAGGCACCTCTGCAGGGCTCCAATTTTGCAGCAAACGGAGCATGCTGCTACCCGAGCAGAGCCCTAACCTGGAACTGAACAACCAAACCACCTAGCTGACAAGGTGTTTTATCACAAGCACAGCAACCTGTGGGTGAGGACGCTCCCCAACGTACTTCCAGAGCAGTGATAAGACCCTCTTGCCAGCACAGCTTTGCCAGCACAGCCCATCCCAGCTGCAGGTGGCCATGACTGGGTATGGGCTTTGGGAAAACACGAGAGCATCCTTCAGAGCAGCTCACACAAAGCACTGTTTCTTGCATCCAAACCCAGTATCTTATACCAGAGGAAGGCAAAAAAGAGCACAAAACGTGACACCCATCCACGAGCTGATATGAAAGCGGCATGTCCCCAAGGCCCTGCTGCCAGCAGTGCGGATGATGTCCTGGATACTGGGCCCCCCAGCAACATCCTCATGCAAATCACCATCATCAGCGCTTCCTCAGTGAATACAATCACCATAATAGTGGTAATAACACATGCTCTTGGCTACAGGCAGCAATTCCTCTCCAACACTGCCACCAAACGACACCCGTGCAACACTACAAACTCTAACCCCTGCCAGAACCAGCATCCCAGTCAGTGCCATCATTTAAAAAACTGAGTAAAAGCCATCGAGAGAGTCTGAAGGAGCCCTCTGCAACCCTCCTCCCTTCCCCTCAGCCCTCGTTAGCAACCAACTTCCCCAAAATTACATGATCCCACTGAAAGCAACCAGGCAACAACTTTTGTCAAGAGTCCAGCATACAACCAGATCAAAACAACATCACACCAAAACCCAAGGGGAGACAGAGAAGTTCAGTCCCCGAAGCTGCACGTGGAGCACCATCTGCGACAGCTAGTCAATATTTCACATTATTTAGACAGCCAGGATCTCTTTCGCGTACATATTTGCATCCCAGCATATGTGCTTCACCGACGCGGTGCTCCGCACAGCTCCTGGCCCGGATCCATCGCCCAACAGATCCCAGCGGCACCACCCGCACATGCCAACCCTCCAGCGGCAGGACCAGGGGAGCTGCTGTGCCCACAAAGTCCAACTCTGAGCCCGTCCCCAGCAGGTAAATCTTGTTATTTAATCTTGCGCACGGTGCTGTAACAGAGTGCACACGCACGTCCACACCACTGCTTGGTAACCCCAAAACCTGCACAGTGAAGCAGTTCCAAACACCTTTTCTTACTCCCGGAGCTGGAGAGAGCTGGGTAGAACCCAGAAGTGTTCAGCCTGGCTTAGCTGTGAGCAGTACCGCTCCACAGCGCGTTTGCCTCGGCCGTGCCACCGTCACCGCACCACTCCGGCACGGCTGGGCTGGCAGCGAGCCAGCATCTGGAGCAGGAGTGACACATTTCCCAGGGAACACGAGTCCCATCTGGCAGAGCACATGGTTGCAGCATGGCAAACCCCCTGGAGCACCCCATGCCACACGAGCCCTGCGGCCCCAGCCGCAGACATCCCCACGTGAGACCCTTCTCCCAGCCAGACTTCGGTCCCAGCTGCAGCTGCTCCAACAGGCGGGAACACCAGCATGGAGATCACAGCGAGACGCATCCCATGCTGCAGAAACCACTGAGCACAGATGCCCATGGCATGTCCCCACTTGCACATCGTGCGAGAACACGGAGCCACCTGCAGAGCTCCAGGGAGGGGACACAATCCAGCCCTGCCATCCAGCACCGGGACACCTGCACATGGCTTAAGCTACTGGTACCCAAAGAGGCATTTTGGTACCAGTTACATCCCTGCTCCTACTGGGGCAATCCCCTGCTTATGCCATTTTATTCTACCCAGTAATAACACAGGGTCAGTCCCAGCCCCAAATGTTCTGGGGTTTCCACCACAATCAGCATTATCACATCCACTACAGTGACCCAGCCTCAGCTTGGGGCTGCAGGAGCACGAGGAGGAAGGGAAGTGTCCAAGGTGAGGACGGGTTCAGATGGACAGGTTGGAGACCCTGCAGGGCAGTGTCACTGTGACAGCTGGGGAAACAGCTGCAGAACTGAGTTGATGCCACCAGCCCAGCCCCAAAACCACCTCCCATCAGGCAGCCCTTCCCAGGGACTCCCACAAGTCCATGGCAGCAGCACTGCTTCTTGGAGAGGCATAAGGCCAGCACAGGAGCTCAAAGCACATCCTAAAGCTTTGCAGGTGGAGAAATTGAGGCACAGGCAGGTGCAATGACTTGCCTGCATCACCAAGCTGGCCAGCAGCAAAACCAGAACACCACCTGAACCTCAGCCTCAGGTCTACCAGTGACGCTGTTTTCCCTTGCTAAGTGCCCAGAGAAGCTGCCCAGGTTGTATTTACCTGGCTTGTTCCCTGCCAGGAACCAGAGCAGGGATCCAAGCTACAGTCTTCCTGGGGATGAACCCAATGCAAATCCAACCCCGGGGCACTGCCAGAGCATCCCTTCCTCCTTACAGCCCTCCAGTCCGAAACCTGCTGCCCGCTCCCCTGAGCAGGACCTGGAGGAGAAGCTGCTCCTCCATGCGCTGAGGAGCTGCACTCGCAGGAAGCGGCCGCGGGCAAGTCACTCCCTCCTTGGATCTCCGTGCCAGAAAGCAATGCCAAGGGGAGAAACTCTACCGCAGTGAGCAACTCACAGCTCACCCCAACCATGGGCTTCTGCCAGGAGAAAGGGAGGGGAAAAGGGGAAACCACAACCATCTCCATCCGCCCGGGGCCAGAGTGTTTGCTGAACCAGCACAAGATCTGTTTTGCCCAGGGACACGCCGACAGGTCTCGGCAGGCTGAGCCACGCTCCTCCAGCCGACTGCTTGCCCAGAGGCGGGCTGGCACCGCAGTGCAAGGCAGGGAGGTGCGAGCTGGCAGCACTGCCAGCCCCAGACTGGTTTTGCCCTCCTTTCCTGCCAAGTTACACCACGCCAAACACGCGCGTGTGCCCATCAGCACGGCCTCTGACCGCCTGGGGAAGGTACCATCAACACTTATGCCAGCATGGGCACACAAGACCCAAAGCAGCCCAGCTCTGAGGGTAAAAGGGTTTAGGGCACAGAGATTGTTCCTTTAAGCCACCTTAATCCTGCAGCCAGGTGACTGTCAGCAGCCAAAATGCAACCCCTGTGATGCTGCAGCAGGTACAGTGGATTGGCACACCTGTCCTCCTCCTTCCCAGCTCCAAGATGATAAAACATACCTGTTTTGCACAACCGAGACATAAATCACGAAGGGCTGTTATTAAAGGAACTTGGCGGGTGCAGATGTGTCAGCCCAGTTGAAAACATCTTCTTCATCTTTGCCCAGCTCTCCAAAACGGCACGAGTTTGGGGGGAAGAGGTACAGCCGGGTGACTCACCACCAGGAGGGGATGTGACCGATGAGGAGATGAGATACCAGCGACCGCACAAACCACACACCAAACGTCTGGAGGCCGGAGGTCGTGCTGGGGGAAGTGGGAGGGAAACAGGCCCCACGTGCTCAGCCCGCTTGGGGTTTGCCAAAGTTCCCCGTGAGGAGGGAGCCAACAGAAAGCATCCCCTGGCAGAGGTTCTAAACCTGTGGACTCTCTCCAAGTTGGTCACCCCAAACCCCAGGCCTGAAATTCAGTCCCAGCTGGACAAGTCAGCCAAGTCTGTGTTTTGAAAGAGACAGGCAGGAGGGGGACATGCTGGAGGTGACATGCTGGAGCTGAACACACCTCCCCTGCATACACAGCTGCGGCCAGTGAGCCAGGCTACATGTCTGATGTGACATGGGTGTGTGCCAGCGCTGGGAAAACTGCTCCATCTCACCACACGTGCAGGTGACCAGCTGGCACCTTCATGGCATCCCCATGCTGCCCTCCACACTGGCTGCCAACCTGGTGTAGAGGTACAGTTCACTTGGACACCCATGAAGGGTCAAGGACAGTAAGTGGGAGCAACACAGTGACACCACTCAATGGGGAATTCACACTCCTGGTCGGGCTCCTTGTTTTCCAAACCAGCCAGCAGCACCAACACACCAGGGAGAAGCAGCATCCACAAAGCCTCTGCTCATGCTCTGGGACGGATTTCCAGTCTCTGCTGTTACAGAATCATAGAAGCATTTAAGTTGGAAAAGACCTTTAATTGGGTCCAACACAGCCCTGCTGGCCTGCAGAGGCAAGCAGGTGGCCACGTGTGATCCTGGCTGCAAAGCACACCCTGAAGCTGAGCCCTGAGCCATCCTTGCCTGAGAAGCCACAGCCCTGTCACCCGGAAGACCAGAGGCCTCCAGCACCCCGGGAGAAGTGAAGTAACTCTCCCCCATTGCCCCATCTGCCCGTTACACGTTTCTGCCACTTATGAAATATTTCCAACCGCAGGCATCTCACTCCATCCTCCCCAGGCCATGATGGATGGACACACTGCCAGGAATCAGGCTGGCACCACACAGTGCTCTGCATCGGGCTGTGGCCGCAGAGGGGCCTGAGTTGAAAAGCTTGGCCCCTTGGACTCTTCAATCCAAGTCCAGCAGAGCTGGGAAACACAGCAGTGAGGCTTTAGGTTTATTTCCATGGGGTGTTTTCCACTCTGGGCACTCAAGGGACATTTGCAGCCCCGCTGCAGTCAGGGTCTCAGTTGGCTGCTGGGCTCAGCAGGAGCTGAGCAGGAGCTGCAGCCGCCCTTGGCCAGGAGCACAGTCACCTCTTCCCCAGTCCGGCTCGCAGTGCCTCACAGGGAGCCAACTGGGACAACAGTCCATGCCACAAACAGCTGGATAAACGTTTATGTCCTCATGAGTCCCGCCAGGGAGGGAGGGGAAGGGGGAGAAGTCCAAGCACAGTGAGTATCCCTCCCACCAGCAGCAGGACGGACACCATACCAGCACCAGCTGCCAATGCTCACTGTCATCAGTGAGCCCGATCCCTTCCCTGCAGAAACAGCGGTTTCCCAGGGAAGACTCTCTCAGGGCTCCCCCTCCAGCACACACTTCCCCATCTCTGCCCCACACAGGGGGCAGCTATTCCTCATGCACACATTTATGGCTGCAAACAGCTGCAAGCCCGGAGTGCTGACAGTGTAAATCTTTGCCGCCTCCTCCCTTGCCTGCCAGGGCAGCTCTAGTGACACCCGAGGCACCGGAGCCGCCTTGACTCTGTGCCACACACGAGACACCAGCGATACGAGCCCCTGAACAAGCCAGGCTGAAACCAAAGCCCCCGGATCAGATGTGCCTGGACTGTAGCAGTGGCCAGTCCCCAACCCTGTCCCTGCAGCCCCAAGCTGCTGCCACAACCCACCACTCCCCGCCCCAAAACCCGACCCAGCCATATTAACACCCCATGCCATGGGGCTGGCAGTTGCTTCAAAGCCTTAATTTATGGCCTCAATTCTCTACATCCCCTGAAAGCCTTCGATCCCATCCCCGGGATCCAGAACAGCCAGGGCAATTTAACTCCCCATTTAATCTTCTAAGGGCCCTGGCGAGCTCGGAGACAGCATCCTCCGGCAGGGGGTCCACACTCCCGGCCTTTGCCGGCTCGAACACCACCGCGCCGCTTTTCCCTTCAGCCGCAAAAATCACTACCTTAAAAGCCAAGGCGAGTACTCCCTCCAGCTCAGAGCGGCTCTCTATTGTTTCTTTTAATTTTATTTTATTCCACGTGGGAATCTTGTGTCCAGGCTGCTTTATTTTTAAGTGGCTCTTGCTCAATATTTACTATGGCTCGCAGCTGCGTCAGCGCAGGAACACCGCGCGCTCCCGCCGGGTTTCCGACTGGCCCTCCCGCAGCCACTGCCCCGTGCCGATGCCGTGCCATGATTTTCCTGCCGTGTTACTCTTGCAGTGAATCACCAGCCTCTCCTCTGCAGTCAGGGCACACCGATGGGCAGGGTGTGACCACAGGGCAAGGGGGGGGGAGGCGGTTCCGTGCTCCATGGAAATAAATATCATCAGGCTGAGTGAGCCCTGCTGCTCACCTCCTCCTCACCCGGGAGCTGGAACAGCCCCAACAGCCTGGAGATGGTGGAGGAGGAGAAAATGGGAAGAAGTGGCTGGAAGGGCTCAAGGGACTGGTGCTCACGCCTCCACTCTGCCCCCGGCGTCCTGCAGACTCAGTTTCCACCATGCCACAAGTCAAAGGCAATCCAAGGTATATACAAGCACATACTGGAGACAGGTATATACCAGCCTATATTGGAGAAAGACACCATAAGATCTCCCACCAGCTCCCCATTGACACCATCTCCATGAGGACTGTGAGAAGCCACCCAGGTGGGGACATGAATCCCCTCCAGCAGAGGTGGCTTTTCCTCCCACTTGAGGGGCCAGGATGGAAACCATCCCACTGGGACTCTTGACATGATGCACATCCAGGCCACACAGCCTGAAACATGGAATCTGGGAAGCACCGATCCAGTCCCACGTTAATCCTGATGCTCAAACCAGTGCCAATGCTCCTGGGTCACTGCCTGCTACTACAGCAGAAGCTTCTCCCACATGCCCCCCACCACGTCAGATGTCTCTCCTTTTCCACTGGCATAATTAAACCTGACACCCCAACGGGGGTCCACTGAAACCTCCAGGCTCTCACTGCACAACCACACAGCTCTCCTCAAACAGCAAGGAGCAACTCAGTGGGTTCTTCAGCTCCACATTTACTAAAACAGAATGTATGGAAA